CAGGTCCCCGGCTCCAGCCCGGCCGAGGCGGGCAGGAGCGAGAGCGCGAGGTTGGGCTCCAGGGTCGCCCTTCGGCCCGGCTGGCGGCAGCGCCCGGAGCGGGGGGAGAGAGAGAGAGGCAGGGGGGACGCGAGCGGCTGAGGGCAGAGGCGGGAGCCGGCGGGCGAGCGAGCGAGGGAGACGCCTTGAACTCCTTACCTCGGCTGCGGCTTTGCCCTCAGATCCCCACAGCTCAGCTAATTGAGAGGGGCTAGCCGCGGGAGGGAGGGGGAGGAGTCAGGAGCGCGCGGCCGCCCCAGTCACCCTCCCCGCCACTCTCGCGCCCACGCAACACGCCCCCGACTTGGGGGCCCCGCTCGCTCGCTCGCTGCCTGGCCGGCCGCCTCAGTCGGGCCAAACAGCCGGGCAGGGGGAGAGAGGAGGAGGCGGGAAGACCGACTGACCAACCTTTCCCCCCGCCCGCCCGCGCGCCCACTGGCTTTGTGGTCAGCGCAGGACAGCAGCTTCCCCCGCCGAGGAGCCTTCCCCCGCCAAGGGACGGGGGCCGGTCGTCAGCCGGTGCGCTGACACCTCAGGGACTGCGCGGGCGGGCTCCGTGTGAAGAGAGAGAAAGAAAGACAGGCGCCACTGCCTCAGGGTCCGCCCGCCGGCTGCCCCCGCGGGGAGGGGGAGGGGGGTCCCCTGGCACGGGGCGCCGTGCGTGGCGGGTATGAAACCGGGGGGATTTCAAGCACACCCAAAGACCGCCGAAGAGGCGCCGAGCAGTACAGGTCGTGTTCCTGGAAGGCAAAGGCGCTCCTCCTCCTCCTCCTCCTCCTCCTCTCTGCTCCCCGTCCTTCCCCCCTCAGCCTCATCCGGATCATCTTCCCGGACGGCTCCGCGCGACCTCCCTCCCCCCCTCCCTCGCGCTAAGGTCTCCCCCTCCCGTCCACCTGCCGGGGCTGCTTCGGCACACAGGGCAGCGCGCGTGACGAGCGGGAAGGGCCGGCGGTGCTCCGACTCGCTTGGGGGGGGGGAGGCCGGGGCTGCTGACCTCCCGCCGAAGGGGACGGGCGGCGGAGGGCCTGAACCCGCAGTTCCCCGTCCCCCCGGCGGCGCCTGCTGCGGGCGAGGTCCCAGGAGGGCTCCGCAGGGCAGGACGTTCTCCACCGGCCTGAGGACGGGTTCAGGCAAAGCCGGGGGGGGGGGGTGCGCTTGGCCCCGGCCAGACACCGACTCCTCCGGCACGGCGCAGCCTCCCCGCCAAAGCCCGGGAAGGGCTCCAGCCCCCAGAGCCTCCTCCTGGCTGGGCGGGCTGGCGGTGGCAGCGCCGCGTCCCTGTCCGCTCGGGTCGACCCGCTCAGCCTCCTTGTCGTCCCAGCCCCTTCCTCCCGTTCTCTCTGCTGGGGAGGGAAGGAAGGAGAGGGAGGAGAATCCCCCGGCAGGGCCCGTTTTGCCGCCCGAGAGTTTACCCCCACCTCCGCTGCTGCCGCCGCCTCTGTGCTTAGACTTCTCGGCACACCCCCGCCTCTGCGCCTGAACTTCTCGGCGTGGCTGAGGAGGCTCAGAAGTGTGTGAAACTTCTCCTCGCCACAGAGGATTGCCTTACGGGGTGGCCACGTGCCCGTTGAGAGAAAGAGACGTCGACAGTCTCTCCGCAGACACTTGCCCGAGTCCACCATTCGCGGCAAAGGGTCGAGAACGCCGACCCTCTCGCCGTGCTGCTTCTCATCCTCAAAAGACGAGGTGGACATTAGTAGTGCCGTTATTGGTAACGGATACATTGTTACGGCTTCTCAGACGTCGGTCATTATCAAACCCAGTTCTGTCATCCATGCGGCTGCTGCTTTGATTTCACCCACTCGGCAGTCTTGGGAAGAGGTCGCGATTTCCCCCCAAGCTGTTAAGACACTTGGATGTACGTACGTCTTCTGGCCCATGCCCAGAACCAGGATAAGTTTTAAAGCCACCAGTAAGGGCTGGCAAATTCAATGTTCCCTCTATGCTGTGGAGTCTTGTGAGCAAAAATTCTACTTCGTGAGCTGCTGGCATTAAAGTTGTGAGCGAGCAATTTGGCTACTGCATACGTTAGCTTGCTCTGGAGCCCTCCTTCCTGAGCTGAGACAAAAATGTGTGAGCCGGAGGCTAAAAAACAGTGAGCTAGCTCACACTAACTCAGGTTAGAGGGAACACTGGCTGGCATCCGACTCAAGCTGAACCGACCCTTCAGGGGCGCAGCGGAGGCAGCCCGGAGAGCCTCTCTCCTCTGGCCGAAAGGGAATTCGTCTGCACAAGCCCCGTGTGCTCTCAGCCCCTCCCACTTCACAGGGTTGTGGTGGTGGTTTGGCCAAATTGTTGCTCTGAGTTCTCAGGAGGCAGGGCGGGATACAAATATGACATCTCATATTTTTTTTAAAGGAGATTTGGGTTAAAGGATTCTGATGTGCTTCATTTGCATAAAGATATCTGTATTAACAGCAGTTTAAGGGCCTGGACTGCGAAAGAGAGAGAGAATGAAAAAGAATGAATGAATCTAGGGAGGTGAACTCACCTCCTGGTCTCATTGCAGAGATCTCCTGGGTTTTGTTAGATTTAAAAAAAAAAAACCACTCCAGATCAAACTGATGTATCTAACAGAGAAAACATCTAGACTGAGTCGTTTTCTCAAAGCCTTGACACCGGTTACAAAGTATACCTGTTAGTCGCCGGCTGGTTTTAGGGGAACTTACCTGCTAGAAACCTAAGGACAGGCCAGTCCGACGAACTTGGAAATCAGTCCCATTGAGTTCAAAGGCGTTTACGCTCAAGGAGGCCTTCGTTGTACTGCAGCGTTATGATGGCAGCTTAAACTGCTTTTGACATCTGGCTCTGATGACAGCTCCCCGCAGATGAAATTTAATGCAATAAACTTACCGGTGTATGTTACAAGAGAGGAAGCAAAACGTTGCAAATCACTCTTCTGGTGTCATTTGCAATTTTTCAACAGGTATTAAAGAACCTAGTTAACATAATGTTCCCTGGGGGATCGGGTTTCTTGGTACATGAAGAGGGCAACATCAGAATCTCCTGCCTCAGCCTATGATTTCATCACATTCCAAACCTAGGCGTCAATTTACATCATTTTAAAGCAGCATGTAAAGCTTTTACATCCAGTGTTGCGAACGCTATGCAGAATTTTCATTGTTTCTGTTAACTGACATTCATTCGTTTGTTTGCAGGTTTCGGAAATGGACTACCTAGTCCACAGAAAATATTCGAGAACATTTCCCTTTCAAATACGATGTTTTATACGATAATTATAAAAGAAAGGGCTAATTAAACCTGATAAAGTCAGCAAAAGAATTCCTGAGGATTCATTCCACTAAGGCGGGGTGTTCTACTTTTTCAGGAAATTGTTCTGAAAAACCAGAATAGGTTGTTTCAGAATGGCCTAAAATAACATTTCAATTAAATGTGTAGGTTTTTACATTTCTCTTGTTACATCGTTCCAATTAACGTGGGATTCAGTCCCCATCGAGAAGAAATAAGCCTCCCTGGATAGGTGGGAAATTGGATGGTGCCTAAAGGTACAGAAAGCAATCCTAAGCAGGTCTGCTCGGAATTCTGCTATGGTCTGTTCAATAGGGCTCACTCCCATGAAAGTGTCTTTAGGACTGCGCCGACAGTTTACTTTGGCTCCCGCACACTGGGGTGCATTTGAGACAACCCCGGGGCGCAGTCAGCTTTTGCTGAACCATTTCTGAATGTTCCTCTTTTCAGTCATTTCTTCTTCAATGTAACGATCTTCATTATTTTTTAAAAAAATGTCACCATGAGACTGGTTATTTCCAATATTATTTCTTTTTAAAAACAATCTGGACAAATGCAGTCTTAAGAAAAAATTAATCTTCCAGCTAGTTAACTGTCTGGTCTCGACTGAGGCTGTCCTCATCAAACAACCCGATCTGATATCGAGAGTTCTGCAACTTTGTGCAGAAGTTGCGACCAATGTTCCCTCTAAGCTTTGGAGTCTTGTGAGCAAAAATTCTACTTTGTGAGCTACTGGCATTAAAGTTGTGAGCGAGTGATTTCGCTACTGCATAAATTAATTGGCTCTGGAGTCATCCTTCCTGAGCCGAGACAAAAATGTGTGAGCTGGAGGCTAAAAAACTGTGAGCTAGCTCACACTAACTCAGCTTATAGGGAACACTGGTTGCGACCTAAATCGCTGCTCAGATTGGGGCGCTCAAATTGAAAGGCTGACTTGCTTTGGAGGTGGTCTCTCTGGAGGACGGCATCTGTTTTCACCCCCCCCCCCACCGCGCCGCCGCCGAAAAAGAGAGAACACCTCTGAAAAGTTGCATGCAGCATCTTCATTGTAAATGTCAGAGCTTCTTTAGGTAAAGGTCAAGGTTCCCTTGCTCGAAAGCCAGTCGAATCCGACTCTAGGGTTGCGGTGCTCATCTCCGTTTCAAAGCCGAAGAGCCAGCGCTGTCCGAAGACGTTTCCGTGGTCATGTGGCCGGCATGACTAAACACCAAGGCTCACGGAACGCTGTTACCTTCCCACCGAAGTGGTACCTATTTATCTACTTGCAATTTCTTGCTTTCGAACTGCTAGTTTGGCAGGAGCTGGAACTAGAGACGGGAGCTCACCCCGTCTTGCGGCACCGGGGTCTTGAACTGCTGAACTACTGACCTTCCACAGCCTGCAGTTCAGCGTCTTAACCACTTGAGCCACCGCAGCCCTCAGAGCTTCTTTAGGGGTACCCTGAAAAGACCGAGGTGGTAACATAGTCAACCGACCATTCCCAGGGCAGCTCGCATCTCAAACTCCTCAAGAGGACCATGGAAGTTTTATTGCAGCGTTATCGCCGCGAAGAAGGGCTTGCTGCCGTCGCTGCTTTCGAAACGTATCCATAGGTTTTATAGCTATACAGAGTTTTCTTCGGTTTATAAACGGGGGTGTTTTCCGTTGTACGTGGTATACTTTATGGTTGTTCCTAAGCCTCAATTTAAAAATAATAACTAGTCTTTAAACCTTAGTACAGGGTGGGATACATACAACGACAGACGTGCTGGGGTTTAAACTGATTTGCCCGATAGAGCAGCACGAAACGAAGCAGACCTGCGCATTTTGGCAGGAGCTGGATGTGGGTCGTCATACTGGGGGGGTGGGATACATACTGGGCAGGGACGAGATCTCCCCGAGACGCCCCTTCCCTGAACTCCTTGGCGTCCCGTGTTTTGTCTTGGTAGGCGTTCAGACGATTTACTTCCTCGGAGCTTTCAAATGCCCGTCGGAGAGCAACGAAGATCCCGGCCCTCCTCCTGCCCGCCGCCCTCTGGCATCGTCTTGCCCCCGGTTTATCGGCCGGTCCTCCTTCCGCCTCCCCGAGCAGGCCGCTCTTGTCTAGGAGGGAAAGAGACAAGCAGAACCCCCAGCCGCCACGGGGACTCCGAGCGACTCCGCGTGCGGAGGACGGCGCCTTCGGTGGCGTCGGGAAGGGCTACTTTCTCCGTCCACCCCAAGCCCGGGAGGGAAGAAGGGGTGTCTGTCTCCTCTCACAGCGCCGAGAAACAAAGCCGCGAAGCATCTCCAGGCAGGAGCCTCGGCGCGGGTCAGTCACCCCCCCGTCCAGGGCGCGAAGTGTCACCCAAACCCCCCGGGAGGGAAGCGGACGCTTGAGCGAGCGCCGCTCAGTGCGGCTCTGGTCCTCGGGCTCTCTTCCCCCGGTGTCTTCTGGCTCTACCGCAACCCAGAGGGCGCGACACGCCCCTGCCCCCCCCCCCTCCAGTGACACGCAGTAGGCAGCAGAGCGAAATCCTCCAGCCGTCCCGCTCCAGATGGCGAAAGGAGCGCGCCGCACGCTTTCCGCTTACGTCGGACAGAACGGCCGCCACCAGCTGGGTAGCAGCTACACGCGCGGAGACCCACACGGGTTGCACACAAGAGATGCTCTGCATCGCTCCGGAGGGCGCTCATTCCCTAACAGACGATGGGGCAAGGAAATAGGTGCAAGTACCCATTTGGGGGAAGTGGCGGGTATTTTGTACAGGCGGGGGGGGACGCGGCCTGGAGTGGGCGCGAAGATTCTGCAAACGCGCGTAAACGCCGCCACGACAAGCCTGGGGTCTCCTAGCAATCGCCCTAGGTGCGCCGAGTGGATCTGGCGGCCCGTCCCTTCCGCCAGCGCTCCCTCGCACTGACACCCTCGGCCACGCCGCTTCTGCGACAATGAAATACACACACACCAAAAAAAACCAAAAACCAACCCCCCCTTCTCAACAGTCGTGTCGGCCAGCAGGCTGCAGCCGGGTTTTGTCTTTTCCTGACTAGTGGCCTAAAACAGCTTGGCCCTTGCCACGCCGAGGACCTGGCTTCCTTGCTTGTTGGAGGGGAAGGGGATGAAGATTTCCGCAAGGAGAAAAAGAGAGCTTCGTCGACGTCAGCTAGACCTACTGGGCAAGAGGCCGAGGAGCGATCTGGGGACACTCCGCCGTTGCTGTTGCTGCCGCCGCTGGCGGCGACCATAACCGTTCAAAGAGCCCCTCCCGAGAGCTGGGAGAGCCGGAATGACCTCGTCTGACGCCAGAGGTGGATTTTGCCCCAGGAGTATAAGGCCACCACCCCGGGGCTCAGGGAGGCGGGGAAACTTTCGCCCCCGCCCCCCGCAGCCGCTGCCCCAAGGGCTTCGTGGCTGCCCGCCCCCTCCCTCCCCTTGCGGGAGCCCCTCCCCTCCCCTCCCCTCCCTCCAATGTCCCCCATCCGGCGGGGCTGAAGAGGGACCTGGCGGCAGCCCCGC